CTCATGGCATGGGGGAACAGTGCTCTCGTGGATCGAGCCATGGCTCACTAAAACAGGAAGCAGAGAGTGTCCATAAATGGGGTTGGTTAAATCCGAGTGGGGATTCTGGTAACAAGTGGCGTTACAGGGATCAGTCTTGGGCCGTTGTTGTTTATAATATATATCAATGATCTTGATGAAGGGAATTACTAGTGATTATGAGCAATAGTCGGATGACACAAAGATAGGTAGGATAATTGTTCAAACGTAGATGTTATGGAATTTCGGAGGATTTAAACAAACTCTATTCTTGGTCAGAAAAGTGGCAGATGCAGTTCAATGTAGATAAATGCAAGGGTTCTGAAGCCTTGGGAGTGCCCATAACCCTAAGTATTTTAAGTTAAATGATGTAGAACTTAGCCATACAGATTGCGAAAGGACTTGGGGGTTATGGTGAGCAGCAAACCTTAAACCCAAGGACAGCAATGCCTAAGCGTACGTAATAAGGCAAATAGATTACTGGATTTATATCAAGAAGTGTAAGCAACTGAACAGTTCAGAGGTCTACTGCGCTTTAGACATCATTATAAGGCCTCACCTAGATTATGCAGCTCGTTATGTCTCCATATCTACAGATGGACATAAATTCGTTAGAAAACATTCGCCGTAGGATGACTAAATAAATTACATAGCATTAGAAATCTTCCTTATATGAATGAAAGGATTGAAGACTCTTAAGTTACATTAACTTGTTAGACGAAGTGAATGAGGGGAGACCTGATCGAAGTGTATAAGTGGAAGTATAGTATTAATACAGGGGTATTTTAAGGGTTCTTGAGGATGTCTCTCCAAGAGAGTACCCGCAGTAGTAATGGATTTTAAATTGATAAGTTTAAGATTTAGAAAGGACATAGGAAAAATATTGGTTTGGAAATAGGGTAGTTGATGAGTGGAACAGTCTACCTAGTTGGGTTATTGAGGTGGGACTTTGGGTAGTTTCAAATTTAGGTTGGATAAGTACATGAGTGGGTACGGGTTGGATTTGAGTGGGGACTTTCACATCAGAGCTTTATTCTTGGGTGGAATTGAAAATTGGGTTGGGCACAAATTTTTTGTTTAGTGGATGATGGAATTGTAAAGGACCTGCCTAGTATGGGCCAACAGGCCTCCTGCAGTGTTCCTCCTTTCTAATGTTCTTATGTTCTTTAGATCTGGGACAGCCAAGAATAATCCTGAGAGCTTCATTTTGCATTAACTCCAAGGGTCGGAGAGAACTTTCTCTAGCTAATATCAACATGGGAGCAGCATAATCAATTAAGGACCTAACATAGGCTATGTACATCATTCTCATGATTCTCACATTAGCACCATAGTTGGGGTTGTAGCCAGCAACAGCTTTGAGAGCATTTAGCTAGCTTTGCATTTCTTATTTAGTTGTGGTATAGTGGATTTGTTAAAGGGTAAATCTACACCAAGATATCTGTAAGTTTTAACGTAGCTAATGATTTCACCCTGCAAAATGGATGGGTGGGGGCGATGTCGTTTGCTTGTTTAATATCTTTGTTTTAGAGAAGATATTATGAGGCCTAGTCGATTACAAATTGCTTGAACTTCATTAAGAATGGTATCATCTTCTTATGCCCTTGTCTTGTATGGATCATGATATCATCAGCATGCTTTAATATCTATATGTTTAGGTGAGGAGGTAGAGCATTTATCAGACATATTTTAAATTAGATGGGACTAAGATCTTCCTCCCTAGCGGTTGCACTAAAGACATTTCTTTAGACTCACTTCTGAAGCCGTGGTAAAAGGGACAGAGGATACTCTATTTGACAGGTATCTATTATCCAGCAGAGTAAGCTACACCAATATTTCATTTTGGCTAGTTCAAGTGTTAACGGTTCTGTTTCGCAATATCAAATGCAGATTTTAGATCAAGAAAAGTGGTAAAACTAGCTAGAGGTGTGTGCAGTGAGAAAGGGGGAGATTACAGTTCTGCCACACTTTTACCTTTCATGAAACATTAGAGGTAGGGGGTGAAAGTTGTTGTCTGTTCGTATAGTACAGTCTGTTAAGGATCATATCTTTTAAAAGTTTTACAAAGACAATAGTTAAGGAGATCGGCCTAAAATGTATCAGGCCTTGTCGGGGCTAGGGTTAGGCACAATGAGACTATTGGTCCAGGAAGTAGGATAGAAACGCCCTCAGTGTAACAGGATTATACAGTGTTACAAAAACAAACGCGAAAGCGGATTGTTCTAATAAGCTTAGAGATATCCAGTGAATACTAGAAAGTGACCTGCCCTTCTAGCATCCAGCCTGTTACTGGGTTTTTCGTAACAAGTAGTCAGTATCCTTGGTCCATTATCCTATTAGAATTAGTATGATTCAATAGTTGCTTAGGATTACAAATGGTAGGCTATAACTAGAGAAAATAAAATTTAATAAATTTATTGAGTATCGTCTAGAGGTTATTATCAAAGTAAATTAATTAATAATAATCAAATAAATAATAATCACTTCTTTCGTTTTACAAGTTAGTTATTGTGCTGGTAAGCACATATCACATTTATAATTCTTAAGTACCCGTCTGGTACTTTAACATTTAATAAGATTATGACAAATATGTACAAGGTAAGTTTGTGTATGTGTTAAGTGCTCTAAGTAGTTCGTTGTCTCACAAAGACTCGACTAGACTTAACAAGTGACTGACAAAGTCTTCAAAAAAAACTAAGTTCTTGACCAACTGGCAATCAGACAGTCTACTTGAACACTAAAAAGAATGCTAAGACAATAGCATATAAACAAAGCAACTGCGACCACGAATCAGGAAACAAGGAGATAATATAACGACACTAGTAGGGCCATCTGGCAGAATCCTCTCACAAGTCACCAAACTCCCATACTACTGAATTCTAAGTTCAGCATAGAAAATCCCCGACTGTGATTATACACAGATACCAGTACAAGTTAGGTCAGAAGCTAAAGCTCAGGACCTGAGTTGCTCAGGTGTCTATTGCGACACACCTCAGTACACGTCGCGAAAATCACTAAGTCTATACAAATTGGTCTGTGAACGGAGTTCTACAGAACTAAACAAGAATAATGAGGACAGACAATTGTCAACCACAAGAGAGTCTAGCCAGACTGAATACTTCAGCGAGGTGAGGGCACCCCCCCTCGATCATCGTTGATATCTCCGTGTACATCTGTAGCTCAGAAACAGAAGAAGCCGGCATGTTCTACGAGCCACAAGCGATAATTACAGTAGTTAGACAATCAAGACTTGAACTGAGCACATATGTTACATCCTACCTAACCAAAGGAAGCTAAGTCAAATAACAATATAAAGCAATACATTTACGATTTAGCTATTATCGCAAATATAAGCAATATAAAATTATATGAAAAGGTAATAATTATATATATACATAATCATTGCAACCCATTCAGGGGTTGCAACATACAGTGCCAACAAAGGGTTATCAGGCACGTGCCTTAGAGTTCTGAGAATATCATAGGTTATACCATCCTCTCCAGGAGCAGTTGATCGACCTTTAGTTAATGCATTATCTAATTCATACTCGGTAAAGAGGCAATCACTCTCATCAATATTTTGGCTCATAAAATTAATCAGTTTCAACATTTCTTCAGAAGTACTCTCTAATTTTTTTCTAATATGAGATAGAAGGTTTTCATGCCTGGATGTTTTGGACCAGTCATTTATGAGGTCATTTGCTTTTTCAAGAGGAAAGGGATGAGCAACATTGCCAGTCTTTTTCCTGGTTATTTTATTTATACCTTTCCAAGCCAAACTTAAAGGGGTGGACCTATTTAATCCACTAACAAACTGTTCCCATTCATGTTGCCAAAGTTTTTGCTTTCTATTCCTTGCATTTGTTAGTGCAGCTTGGAACGTTCTGAGCAGGTCTGGGGTCCTACATTCACGGTATGCTTTACCAATCCCCCTAGCTGCATGTGTTAGATTGCGTAGCTGTGGATCATTATAGTATTTACATTGGTTTTTATTGTTATTAGTGGAGGGTCTTTGTTTCTTATTCCTGCCCACTTGATGTGTGAGAACACTCTCAATAGTGTTAACTAAATCATCATTAAATTTTTGTGTGCCAATGGGCTCGTAATTCTTATACCATTGATCCAAGTGGTTAATAAAGCTGTCTCTGTGTTCTGGTTTGAGAATAAGTTTCCTCCTGTATTTAGCTCCTTGATTGCTGGAGATGTGATCAAGATTGACAGTTGTTAGTCTTGGGAAGTGATCAGATAGAAGATCATCAACTATGACAGTCATGCATCGTATATGATGTATTAAATCCAAGGCACAGATCTAGTATGTCACCATATATGTGAGTAGGCTCAGTAGTGCCCACAATTCGAACATTATTATGCTCATTTAGCAATTTCACTAGTTTAGTTCCATTGAGGTTTGTTACAGACCCACCAATATTCTTATGTCTGGCATTAAAATCTCCAAGAATGATGGTAGGTTCACTATTGATGCGTTCTGGTAAAGCATCAGGTCGAAGCTGGTTCGCTGGGGCATAGAGATTAAAAATGTTTACGGAAAAATGGCCTGCATATACTTTGACACCGTGATAATGCATGTTAACTCGACTCTGCAAGGAAAGGAGTGAATGTGGCAAGTTCTTTCTGACATGCATCACACAACAGTTGGTTGACCTTAGGTTATAAGCTGCATATCCAGGCAAGTTTGGTGGAGGTGCTCTATCTTTCAATCTACATTCCTGCGAACAGATGACATCAATATCCTATATATGCTAGATGATGTATAAAGATGAAATAATAAAAGAAGTACTAGCCGGTGTCTGAACGAAACGAGGAAGAGCATGAAAGAATTTACTAGCCAGTGTATGAAAGAAGCAAAGAGAATGAAAAAATCTGCACTAGCAGACGCATGAAGCATTAAGAGGTAGAGAGGTCTGGTGTGGAAAATGAAGAACAGAGCAGTACATGGTCCTGGGGAGCTAAGATCAACTTACTTTCACTCTCGGAGGTGTTGTAAGACTTCTAGTAGTTACTGCACCAGTGCTATCTCCACCGTAGACACTCCTCGGGGAACAGCTCTCGCGTTTATTACACAGGACAGCTAAACATTAACTTGCACAAGCTCACCAGGACTGTCTCAGGGCACGCAGGACAGTGTCCTGATACGAAATTATGCGATGACTACAGTGTCTCAGCGCTGGGGAACGAGGCACTACACCCGCATGCTGGTTAAAAGTTCTTTTCGGAAGCACGAATCGTATCTTAGAGTCAGTAATTATTGTGGAATATAAGAACTGTGGGGTAAGAAATGGGCATTGAGTTTACACTGTACAACGTGTGGTGTGAATATGAAAGTTACCCTCGCTAGCGTCCCCAGGCTACCGTGTCCAACGTATCGTACGTTAACAGTCCTGCAAACCTTAGTTTGCTAGGCTTAGCATCATTAATCTACACAAGGGTGATTAATGATGCAATACACGCGATCAGTAACACCATAGACACTTTATTACATTAGCTGGGGACTACAGAAAACTCAGTGTGTGCACACTGAGATACAGTCTACTGCAGCCTATCCATACCCCAGCCTCATCAGTCATTATTTTACTGTGATTTTGGGCCTTAGACAATAATATATTTTTTATACTATTTAGTAATGAATACAATGGTTTACAATGGGTAATAATTGTTTTAAAAAAATTACTAAGTCAGTTTTATCACGATTTCAAGCAAATTTCTCGATATGCGATATACATTGTTTAGGTTTGGTTAAGTTAGATTGTTGTCTACAAGTAAAATTTAGAGAATTACAATAATTCATAGCGCCAATGAAGACAATAATACATAAAAGCGATAGAAAGTTTTGGAACACTAGCTGAAAACGGGATCCCAAGAGAACACTTTAGAATAGACAGTCACATAATTTGGATTATTTTGGCGAACTACCTCATAGTGTGCTGCAAAATTTGCAAAAGCTGCTGACACAGCCTACCCGAGTTAATATCTCGGGCACACAAGTGGCTCATGCAACAAAATTCCACGTAGCTACGGTGTTGTGTAATTCCTAACCAGGGGCGTCGTAAGGGGGGGCCCAGGTGACACCATTTAGGGGGTGACACCATAGAGCCTCTAAAAAAGTGACACTAATGCCCAAAACAGTGCTACACCAACATAAGAGAATAATCCTTCTATATAGCCTATTATATATTAACAAAGTACAGATAAGCCTATATAAGGAAAATCATTGATTCTGATGATTTGATAAATGATTTTGCATAATTGAAGGCAAGGAAATGTAAGATCAGATACACTGAGGCGTTACCTTTACTCAAGGTCAAATTGGAACTAGCATTTTTCTGATATTGCAATGTTTTCCTTTATTTTTCAAGTTTTTTTTTTTTGACATTGTTAAAGATGAATAAATGTTGGTTCTGTTGCCTGTACTCAAAGTGGTATTTGAGTTTGTTTCCTCAATATTATTACAGCTTCTCGAGGGCCGAGAAAAACTAATTTTGGGTGTGATTTACAGGGCCCCAAATCTTGATAGGGAGTGCAGTAAACTTCTATGAGACGAAATTCGTAAGGCTTCTACATACGAAAATGTTGTGCTAATGGGAGATTTCAACTATAGACAGATTGACTGGAGCAATTTGACAGGAAATTTAGAGCCAGGTGACTTTCTTGATACGATCCAGGATTGTTTTTTAAAACAGTTTGTGACAGAGCCAACTAGGGGAAATAACCTCCTTGACTTGGTTCTTGCCAGTAGGGAAACACTAATTAATAATCTTGAGGTTAATGATGAGCTTGGGGAAAGTGATCACAGTCACTCAGTTTTAATATATCATGGAATTCCCCTAATAATGGCAATCAAGTCTCTGTCCCTGACTTCCGCTTGGCTGATTTCATAGGACTGAAAAATTACTTAGGTGGCTGAACTGGAATGACCTGACTAAGGGTCAGGTAGGTGGTGATGGTTGCCGATATGACGCTTTCCAGGGCATAGTTCTAGCTGCTCAGTCAAATTATGTTCCAAATAGGGAAATTAGATCAAACAAAAATGATCCTAAATGGATGAACAATAGATTAAAGTATCTAATTGGTCAAAAGAGAGGCATATATAGGCAAATCAAAAGAGGAGAGGGGCAATTATGAAACCGATATATTCAGTTAAAGAGAGAAATAAAAAAAGGGAATTAGAAAAGCAAAAAGAGATTATGAGGTTAACATTGCAAGAGAATCGAAGACTAACCCAAAAGGATTCTTTCAGGTATACAGAAGTAAGATCAGGGACAAGATAGGCCCACTCGAAAGTTCCTCGGGTCAGCTCACTGACAGTGATAAGAAAATGTGTAGAATTTTTAACACATACTTCCTCTCAGTTTTTACACAGGAGGATACCAGCGATATTCCAGAAATGATAAATTATGTAGAACAGGACGATAATAAACTGTGCACGATTAGGGTCACAAGTGACATGGTCCTTAGGCAAATAGATAAATTAAAACCTAACATATCCCCAGGCCCTGATGAACTGTATGCAAGGGCTCTAAAGGAATGTAAAGAGGAGCTTAGCAAACCTTTGGCTAATCTTTTCAACATATCACTACAAACTGGCATGGTGCCAGATAAGTGGAAAATGGCAAATGTGGTACCTATTTTCAAAGCAGGTGACAGGTCCTTAGCTTCGAACTATGGACCAATAAGCCTAACCTCCATAGTGGGAAAATTTATGGAATCAATAATTGCCGAGGCAGTTCGTAGCCACCTTGAAAAGCATAAATTAATCAACGAATCTCAGCATGGTTTTACAAAGGGGCGTTCCTGCCTTACGAATTTATTAACTTTTTTCACTAAGGTATTTGAGGAGGTAGATCATGGTATATGGACTTCAGTAAGGCTTTTGACAGGGTCCCACATCAGAGACTATTGAGGAAAATTAAAGCACATGAATAGAAGGAAAAATTTTTTCCTGGATAGAGGCATGGTTGACAAATAGGCAGCAGAGAGTTTGCATAAATAGGGAGAAATCAGAGTGGGGAAGCGTCACGAGAGGTGTTCCACAGGGGTCAGTGTTTGGTCCCCTGCTGTTCACAATCTACATAAACGACATAGATGAGGGCATAAAGAGCGACATCAGCAAGTTTGCCGATGACACCAAAATAGGCCGTCGAATTCATTCTGACGAGGACATTAGAACACTCCAGGAAGATTTGAGTAGACTGATACAGTGGTCGGAGAGGTGGCAGATGCAGTTTAATATAGACAAATGCAAAGTTCTAAATGTTGGACAGGACAATAACCATGCCACATATAAACTACATAATGTAGATCTTAATATTACGGATTGCGAAAAAGATTTAGGAGTTCTGGTTAGTAGTAATCTGAAACCAAGACAACAGTGCATAAGTGTTCGCAGTAAAGCTAATAGAATCCTTGGCTTCATACCAAGAAGCATAAATAATAGGAGTCCTCAGGTTGTTCTTCAACTCTATACATCCTTGGTTAAGCCTCATTTAGATTATGCTGCACAGTTTTGGTCACCGTATTACAGAATGGATATAAATGCTCTGGAAAATGTACAAAGGAGGATGACAAACATAAGAACATAAGAAAGGAGGAACACTGCAGGAGGCCTGTTGGCCCATACTTGGCAGGTCCTTTACAATTCATCCCACTAACAAAACATTTGCCCAACCCAATTTTCAATGCTACCCATGAAATAAGCTCTGATGCGCAATTCCCACCCAAATCCAACCCGTCCCACTCATGTACTTATCCAACCTAAATTTAAAACTACCCAAAGTCCCAGCCTCAATAACCCAACAAGGTAGACTGTTCCACTCATCAACTACCCTATTTCCAAACCAATACTTTCCTATGTCCTTTCTAAATCTAAACTTATCTAATTTAAATCCATTACTGCGGGTTCTCTCTTGGAGAGATATCCTCAAGACCTTATTAATATCCCCTTTATTAATACCTATCTTCCACTTATACACTTCGATCAGGTCTCCCCTCATTCTTCGTCCAACAATTGAATGTAACTTAAGAGTCTTCAATCTTTCTTCATAAGGAAGATTTCTAATGCTATGTATTAATTTAGTCATCCTACGCTGAATGTTTTCTAACGAATTTATGTCCATTCTGTAACATGGAGACCAGAATTGAGCTGCATAATCTAGGTGAGGCCTTACTAATGATGTATAAAGCTGCAGTATGACCTCTGGACTTCTGTTGCTTACACTTCTTGATATAAATCCCAGTAATCTATTTGCCTTATTTCGTACGCTTAGGCATTGCTGTCTTGGTTTAAGGTTGCTGCTCACCATAACCCCCAAGTCCTTTTCGCAATCTGTATGGCTAAGTTCTACATTATTTAACTTATAAGTACTAGGGTTATGGGCACTCCCAAGCTTCAGAACCTTGCATTTATCTACATTGAACTGCATCTGCCACTTTTCTGACCAAGAATAGAGTTTGTTTAAATCCTCCTGAAGTTCCCTAACATCTACGTTTGAATCAATTATCCTACCTATCTTTGTGTCATCGGCGAATTTGCTCATATCACTAGTAATTCCCTCATCAAGATCATTGATATATATTATAAACAACAACGGGCCCAAGACTGATCCCTGTGGAATGCCACTTGTTACAGATCCTCACTCGGATTTAACCCCATTTATGGACACTCTCTGCTTCCTGTTAGTGAGCCATGACTCGATCCACGAGAGCACTTTTTCCCCAATGCCATGAGCTGCCACTTTCTTTAACAGTCTATGGTGCGGAACTCTATCAAAAGCCTTACTAAAATCTAAGTAAATAATATCAAATTCTTTATCGTGGTCAACAGCCTCAAAAGCTTTACTGAAGAAAGTTAATAAATTAGTTAGACAAGACCGGCCTCTTGTGAATCCATGCCGAGTATCATTAATCAAGCTATGCTGATCGAGATGGCTTCTTATAATCTCAGCTATAATTGACTCTAGTAATTTGCCTACAATTGAGGTCAGGCTTATTGGGAGGTAATTTGACGGTAACGACTTGTCCCCTGTTTTAAAAATAGGAATTACATTAGCCATCTTCCACATATCAGACACTACACCTGTTCGAAGAGATAAATTAAAAATATTAGTTAATGGCTCACAGAGTTCCATTTTGCATTCCTTAAGAACTCTTGAAAAAACCTCATCAGGACCCGGCGACTTATTTTGCTTCAGTCTGTCTATCTGCTTGACAACCATTTCACTAGTGACTGTGATGTTACATAATTTATCTTCTTCTAGCCCACTATAAAAATTAATTACTGGAATATTGTTAGTGTCTTCCTGTGTAAAAACTGAGAGAAAATAATTATTTAAA